ATAACGACACTTCGGGATTGGGATTCAGATAACCAACGGCTCCGATTCGATTCGTCCCAGCACCAACTTGATAGATCAACGGTGGGCAAGCATCTAAATGCTTACCGTCTTAACTTTATTATTACCTTGATTGATTGATTACCCCAATAACAACAGTTAACTAGCCCAGCCACATGGAATGTGTGATAAGAGCAACTCCACCCATTTCGTCCGCCGACGTCCGTTTGGATCGTCGCGGACAAAAACGATGGTCCAACACGCCGACCCATTCTCAAAACCCGTCTGCGCGGACCCATTTTCGACCCAAATTTGGGTCTGAAATGTTTTGGCGCGGACGCGGCGCGCGTCCCCTCGGTGTCCACCGCGGCTCCACATGTCGGCCGGCCAACAACCTCAAGCGGTCATAATTAACATGGCCACCTACCAAAGGCTCACCTGGCAATGTGTGGAAAGACCGCGTGCCCGTCCTTTTTAATGGACGCGTGCGGCGAGGCCGGCCTCATCCACTCCCGGTCCACATCTGGCCACCTTTACTCCCTCGCCAATGACCAGAAAACCCTAGCCAGCCAGCCCGAAACCCTAGCAAAGCCATGTGCTTCTTCAGCGCGAAGGGAGGGTGGAAGGGGAGGTTTGGCGCCGGCTTGAGCTCTTACCACGGGCTCCCTTCTCCACCGCCGTCCGCTAGACGCGGCACACCACCGCGGAAGCGAGAACGGTTGTACATCCCAGTCCACCAAGCTAGCCCGTCTCATACCTGGATGTGAACTTACCGCACGACTGGCATCCTCATCCCCATTCGGATGTTTTAGTAGAAATTCCGTGTTCATATGCAAACAATCTCTTCATATTCAGTAATTTTGCGGATAATGAAACAGTAGACGGCACATTAGTCTCATCCCTAGTGCATGTGTCAATGGTACTAAATTATCAACGGTTTGCAATTTCGTATATTGAAAGAATGCTACTTTCTAGAGTAATTAATATGAGAGTACTGATTAACTCATTTTCTGTTTCTAAGCCATCTTGCTTTTTTAGGCGCTATTTTGATGTGTTGGCTTGGCATGAAGTATCATTGAAATGCTTGAGAAGACTGTAAGTGTGGGAGACTTCTTTTTCCCTGGTGGAACGCGCGGTCTGCGGCGTGGCGGCTGGGGTAGGGTTTCTATCCATCTCCATCTGGTCGGTGATTCGTTCTTGCTGCTGCTGGAGTTGGTCCGCCGCGGGTGGTGCTTGTGCGACTGCGTGGGCTCCATTGCTGCGGCGAATCGATTTGGCGGCGTTGTCCCCCTTCCATTCTTGCTGCTGCTGGATGTGGTCATTGGAGCTGCGGGGGCGCCGGAAGGGAGCTGGAGCTTCTATCCCGGTCCTGCTGCTGCAGCTGCAACTGCCCCCTCTGGTCGGTGAGGGTCTAATGCATCAGAACGCACGCATCAAGGAGATCCAAGCATCCTTCTAGTTGTTCTACAAATAAAGGGACTTGGAATCTATATCTACTTAGGCCGCGTTTGGCTTCTCTCCGCTCCCTGGACCGCGCTCCCGGAGCGGACAAATCTGTAGCTAATTTTTTAGGAGCGGGTAAAACCGAGCTCTACAACTCCACGGAGTCAGCTCCACCGAGGGATTCCGAACAGGGCTTTAAAATAAAATGAAGGCCTTCGGTTATAGCCATTCTTTAAAGAAATGACCTATGTAGCTGCGTTTTTTTTGCTTTCAGTCTGAAAGTAATTAGTGTTTCTTTTCTTTGTTATAGATATACGATAAGTGATGCTTTTTCCAAGCAATTCCTATGAAATTCCAGTGTAGACATTGAGAACCCTTGGTGTGCTAACTGCACCCCTATTTTTTTTCCTTTTTGAGGAAACAACAGGTGTTCTGCTGATGCGTAATAGAAGGGGGGTTATAGATTGTACTCCCTCCGTCCGAAAATAGTTGTCATCAAAATGGATGGAAAGGAATGTATCTAGAACTAAAATACGTCTAGATACATCTCCTTTAATCCATTTTGATGACAAGTATTTCCGGACGGAGGGAGTAGAATTTAAACTGGACTGGATATATATGCCAGTCAGGAAAGGCTTGGTGAAGGAAAAGTCAGTCTGGATTATGGTTGAGCATAGTTTTTCCCCTCTGTGTCAGTCCATGCTATTGCAGCGACGCCTAAACAGAGCGTCTATGATGGCTGGCACTCCTGGGAGCATGTGCTTAATTAAGTATTCAGATTTTTAATCTGCCAAAGTAGGCTCCTTTGATTACCAAACCTTTGTCCCTTTCTGTCATTTTGTTTTCGTGGCTTTTGTTTATTGTACAACCTTACTTCTAAAGCTTGTTCGTGTTATCAAGGTAGCTTCAGGAGTCCATGCCATTGCACAAGTAACATGACATGCAAGAGTTCAGTGGATAGTGGATAGATTCAGTTAGACTGCAACTTAATGCACATATATAGCTGGCTGTATGTGTCCATCTTGTTGCAGATACTCCCTCCGCCCGGAAATACTTGCCATCAAAATGGACAAAAAGGGATGTATCTAGAACTAAAATACATCTTCTTTTATCCATTTTGATGACAAGTATTTCCGGACGGAGGGAGTACAACCCATCATCCCTGTGTACATCACAACTTTGTGATTCCATGAATGGATTGGAGCGCCCAACAATGTCTTATTACTGTTTCGGTTTGGTACAAGATTCAGAATTATGGGAAAATGTTGCAGATACCTAGGCGTTAACTTGCCTTTTCCCTGAATATTGATCATGTACATGTATGCAATTTATCTGCTTTCCTAAAATATTTATTTGGATTTTAACAAGAGGTAAAATAACTTTGCGGAGCTTTCTTAGTTGTTGATTCATGTGGTCTACTAGGTTCTGGAACTACATGTTCATGAGTTTCCATGTTTGTTTCACACAATTCCAAAATGAAATTGAAAGCATATGCAATTAAAAAAATATGTCCCCATGGTTCTTAAAAGTTTTTTCATTTCTATTTTTTCCATACAAACCAGAGGATCCCGTTATTTGTTCGAAGGAAATTAAGGAGAAATGCAGCTCACTAATCTCCAGCAAGGAATTCAAGAAATATTAGACTTCACCATTCATGTCCAACAAAATTACGACCAGTTTTGAGTACGGAGAAGTGTAAGAGAAGCCATTTTTTTTAATGGAGAATAATTTAGCTCATGCTTATCTAATCCGATCTGTTAGTCCGCTCGTTTTGATCATTGGTTATCAATGCCTGAACTTTGCGGCAGGATTCTCGTGTAAGCAGTCTTCTTGGCTTAAAGAGGAGCTCAATGGAGAAGAGTGAACAAGGAGGAGTCAGAAGAGAGTAGTAATTAACCCCATTAATTATCATCATGAATCAGATGTGAGCTTCAGTTAACTCAGGTTTCCTAACCAGTGTGTGTTGATAGTTGCCACCGAAAGAACCAGTATAGTGTGTTTTGATGTTATTATAATCCTGGAATTGCATATTGCTAATCATTAGATTGACCAGTTCACTATGAAATGAAGGTAATGCTATTTTCTTTAGCAAGGTTGTCTGAATCTTAATCAACATAGTCCTGTCCAAAATGTGTTGTTTTGATGAAGAGTGGCGACAAATGGATTGCACTTCCTTTTAGATAAATGTGGTATAGTTGGTAAAAGAAAGTATCATGGTTATAGTCATATGTGACTCATGGTACGATTTATATGTTTATTTTTGCCATTTGCCTAAGAAGAGAATGTCCACTTAGATGTTGGTATGTCAGGATATATCTTTGCACATATCTGTTGTCTGCTGAGGAATGACCGAGGAGTCTATAACGTTGGCAATGATCCAAAAGGAAACAAAGCATGGATTGTCTTGCTGTTGTTTTAAAATAAAATGGGTAGGCAAATGGGTGGGCTTGTGCTCTCCAGCCTGTTAGAATTTTTCAAGAAGGAAAAGCCAAATCTAAATGGTATCATGTGCTATAGTGCCGTTATAGGCAAATAAAGATTCGTTCGAGAAATTTTGAATATATTCAAACGGCGCAGCAAAGCGCGCGATTCGCTTCTAGTCTACTCTAAATCTAACCCTGCGTTAGGTAAGCACCGTACATCTTGCACAGAATCCACTAAAACATATGTTGCACCAGAATTCCCATCCCCACATTATTAAGGGGACACCAACTAATCCACCTTCTCCATCATCCTTCCGCTTCATCTTAGCAAACAATGACAAACATTTAAACAATCTTATACGCAAAAAAGATCTAATAAATACATAAACATTAGCTTTTCCAGAAACATCATGGTATGTTGAAAGAGGGGAGATGCTGAACATGCAACTTCCACCATAGAAGACATTGTAAGTGGTCAAGTACACTCGATGAAAGATTAAACGGAGAGCAAAGGTAAAAACCGAGACCAACAACAAGAGACTTGAGTAATGATCCCAGTAAGCTCACAGCATTAAAACTTACCAAGTTCAACAAACTAACTACAAAAGCGAAAGGAGCACTCCTACATACCAAATTTCCAGACCGCTAATGCCACAAAGAACATCAATCTCCTATCCACACAGCGAAAACCAATCTCAGAGGAAGTTGGTGCACCACCTCAGAAGAGATTCGAAATTGCAACCTGACCAACTTACCTTGCCCCACAAATCAGAACAGGCGTTTTTCAGTCCAGCTTGCAAATTGCACAATAATTAAACGTCATAGCATTTCGTTTCTGCAAAGAACATACAAATTAACTACAAACCTGCTACCAGTTAAGGCACAACCACAACCTGCGACAGATAGAACAAGTCTGCTGTTCGCCTGTATATATATAGCATGACACATATCTAATCAACTTGCAACAGATATCTGATGCAGTCTCTAGTGACACACAGAGGCCATATATAGGTATCATCCTTTATTATTACATACATACATATATGATGCAGCAGAAATCAGTCTCCGCTCCCTGCTGCGTTTCGGATGGAGATCTCAGAAGAAGTTGCTTGTGAGGCAAGACGTGGTCAGGCCGGATCACTGGCCACCAGAGTAGAACATGCTCGGGTACAGCCAGAACGGCGGCGGCCTGCGTAGATGCCAAGGGTCGGAGTGTGAGGTGTTGTTCCACCCTCCCCATTCGTATGGGCTTGTGCAAGGAAGCGCTGGAGCCGCCCACCATGGTTCTGGGCTCATGCAAGGAAGCGCCGGCGAATCCCATTCCCATGGCTCCAAGCTCGTGCAAGCAAGCGCCGGAGTCACCCACCATGGTCCTAGGCTCGCGCAAGGAAGTGGCGAATCCCATCCCCATGGTTCCGGCGCGTCTCCTGCATCGGGCGGTGTGTCATGCATGGGATCCGGACCGCCACACAGATGGTGTAGATTCCATGGCTTAGAGTCAAGGCCTGCATACAACAAGATGTTGCTCCCCAATCCAAAAAGTTCCGAGCTCATGCAAGAGAGTGGCGTGCTCTTAACTTCCTCCCCTAGAAAGAGTGCCCAATTGTTCAGCTTCTCCACGGCCATCCATGTTGCTGGCTTGGTCGACATGTCGAGGCAGTAGACCTCATTAAAAGAAAAGGCAGTGACCATGAGAAGCATGCCACCACAAACCACCAGCCATGTTTTACCACGCCTATGGTCTTCACTCCTATCCTGGAACTTGGTTGTCATCTCTTGTAGACCAAGCTGAGGGGCCAACTGCAGAGTGTAGAACCTGTGAAAGCCATCCGAGACAATGACCTGCCCATTGAATTCCACGATTTGGTCTATTACCAACATATGAGGAAGCTGGACTTGAGACCAAGAGTCACTTCCAACAAGCAAATCAAACAGGGAGAACTCGGTACTGACAAGGAGATGCGAGTTGGGTGATGTAAGGGGGGACGTTAGAATGCCGTTCAAGTAGAATGTCTCACATTTGACACTGGATGGGAGACGTGGAGTTGAAACCTCCACGCCAGTGAACACATCAACGATGTGAACATATCCATAGCAGAAGTAGATGATATTACCATAGGATGAGCCAATATATATCATCTTCTCCGTAGTTTCTACAGGAATCTGGCAGCGAAGGGAGGTCTTTTTGTTGGCTGGATCGATAACCACACATGTGTATAGCTGATGGCAACCATTGGCAGCAGGAAGAAGAGGACCTTGTACACGAACATGGGGCTGGATGAGGAGAGGTGGAAATTTTGAGCGGAGCATAGATTTGGATGGGTACGAGGAGAAGGCAGCACGCCAAGAGGGGCATGTTGCTGCGAAGCCAAGAAGGTCTCGGAAGGAGCCCAGCCGAGCAACGACAGAGTGAAGCAAGCCATCCGGGAGGTCAGCCCAACCTTGGGGTCCGGAGAAGGCATGGGGCCAAGGGAGAGAGACATCAGACAGTTTGCTGGGGCTCTGCATGATGTGCTGCTGACGACAAAATCTGCAAGCAATAAACTTTTCAAGTCAAGCAAATTAGAATTCATTTTTCTATTAAAAAAAGCTTAGAACTGTAAGCTGGTGAAGAAATACGAGACGAATAGCAGGAATAAGCAAATGATATTCTGGAGATCAAGTATATATAATATAATATGCATATATATATATATATATATATATATATCTATATAAGAAACTTGTTATGCTGCTTATGCACCAGGAATAAGAAGAATGTATAAAATATACGGTAGTTGTTCAAATGAAATGTATGCCTGACAATCAAACGAACTTGTTATGCAATTTATTGAAATAGCAAATTTGATCTGATTATGTTTTGGTGAATCGTCATGCCGTGTTAAGATACAGAATACGCTAATACGCCGAGTGCAGTTCTAGCTCTCTAACAGCAGTCAGCAGATATGGCGCAGTCCAGATGTTTCCAAATGTGTTTTTCTCTCTTGTTCCAGTTGCAGATGATTTATTTTCTCAAGAGGGGCGCTCAGATTATCTCAAAACCGCCCACTGGATTTAATCCAAGACTGAATCCAAGTCAATTATCCATCCAAAACTGCAACCGCAACGCTAGGTGTCAGAGCAATCCACTGGATCTACTCCAGTTTTAGCCTACGCATCAATCAAAAATTCCAACCGCACCTACCAGATTGATTTACGGGAAGATGCATCAAAACATTCATCAAAGGAAGTGGACTGGAAAAACAGGAAGAGATGGATCTAGGGCTTTGGTGCAAGGGGCCGGCGGGAGCGGGATGGTGGTCAGACCTTGTGGATTGGGAAGGAGACGCTGTCTGTTGCGGACGTCTTCGCCGTCGCCGTCGCCGTCGCCGTCGCCGGGGTGGATCCGCTCTCTGGAGCCTCCTCGGGCCGGTGTCAACTATGACCAGTCCACTACGGAGACTGAAGCCAGCCTGAGATGAGACACTGACGGAACAGAGTGCGCACACATTTCTGGGTTCAGATAACCAACGGCTCAGATTTATCCTAGCGCAGGCTCAACGGTGGACAAGCATCTATGATCATCAACAAACATACTGCACAATATATTCTAGGGTAAAATGCAGCGTTGATTTTTTTTAAAAAAATAAACATGTCGATAAGTAAATATACAATGTCTCTCATAGACTCCTCAAACCAGTCCTTAGTGACTGAAAATTTCGCTAGCCTGACAATTTCATGAGCCACTTTATTTGCTTTCCTATTACAATGTTCAAACCTAACAAGAGGAAAATCACAAGTTATGAAATAGCAATCATCCAACACTGCTGTCTGCTGCCACCGCACCTGCCAAATGTCCTACATTCTTTATTATTTCAATCACCTTCATATTGTGAGAGTTAATGACGAGACAATTGCAACCCACCTTTTGTGCAAAAAATAGGCCTAACCTTAGAGCCAAACCTTCTGTTGTTAATACATCAGCACACTAATCAATCCTCCATTTTCCACCAACAATAAATTTTCCATTATCATCTCTGAGAATAGCCTCAGTTGTGCCCCTAAGCAAATCATGATCGAAAGAGGTGTCAACATTGAGCTTAACGAAACCCATAGGAGGTCAGCTCCATCCCATGTTTTACTAGTTGCCTTAGGTGAATGTGCAAAATGCAGCGTTTATGGCACAATTCATGGATCCAATAGTCAAAATAAGAGTACAAATACATGCAACCTTAGGGCATCTCCAACGGTAACCCGCAAATTTCCTCCCGCATCTGTCCATGAATAGGGATGCGGGAGGCTACCATCCAACACTGTCCGTGTACATTTCAACCCACATTTCAACGGACGAAATTCATGCAAACCGTCCAATATTCATCAATGTTCGGATATAAAATAGCACAAATCATCCATACATAATACATAGCATGCAAATTAAGTCTAGCTAGTATGGCAATGTCTCAAATTCGACTAGATTAACCAGATGTCAACAAATTTTTCATCAATGGATCATGTCGTCCCACACATGCTCCTCCTTCAGCTTCATCCAACAGTGTGTACGTAAATGGTCGTCCCTCTGTCCTGTGGTAGACCACGACAGCGTGTGTGGGCCACATAATGTGTAGACCAACATTGAGTGAATGAATCAATCAACAAGTTGAGCAAGAGGAAGCAAAACTTATGATCTCGTGCTCTGCCGCATGAAGTGGCCACCTTGCCTCTAGCTGACAAATCACGTCACAAAACTTACTGACGCTGTCTGTATAGTGCACCAGCAATATGATAATGACCTCATGTTGCGTTCTTGAATGACTAGATCATCGAAGGCGCACGTTGCTGCGCCCGTCCATTTTGGTGCTACAATGTTAGTGATTGATGCAATCATTTGTAAGGGTAGTATTCTAATCATATGATATAATTATCACATTATATGCACGGGAAGCATTTTAATCATACAAATATATGTTTTTTGCCTGAATTTTGAAACCTGGAATTTATGATGGTTTTGCGCATGTTTATGTTTTTTGTAGGGGTATGTTATGGTAGCTATTGATGAAAAAAAAACATCTAAGTTGATTAGTATCTGTGTAGGGAGATGTTATGGTAACAAGGCTGGTAATAGTTTTATTTTTTTATAAGAATAGCAAGGGTTCTCAACCACAATACGTGGTCTGCTAGATGCTCTTAGTAATGAGAAAATTTGCCAGGTGTGGATTCCAATGGTAAAACCCAAAAAGAGCTTTCCAGCGTTATCCATTTGGGTTTAGGAAGATATTTGTCCCTTCGCTAATTAATCCATTCACATATGGAGCTATTTTTTCATGGGGCTTTAATTGTTTTGTTTAACTGCATTCATCTATTTGCATGATAATTTATATTTTGTATCATTGACTTCACCGTTGATGCTACTTTGCTCAACCGTTGTAACAAGTTGGTTATCAATTGGCTCGTTAGATGGTATCTTGTACTCCCTCCGTTCTAAATTACTTGTCTTGGATTTGTCTAGATAAAGAAGTATCTAGCACTAAAATGAGTCTAGATACATCTGTATCTAGACAAATCCAAGACAAGTAATTCGGAACGGAGGGAGTATTCAGTTTCTCCCGATTGGGATATCAGAAAGTTTCTTCAAAGAACAACACCTAACTCAACGATCCATTCAAGACCAGTCCTTGACTTCTCAGGGTTTTCAGTCTACAACAGCCAGACCATGGTGGAGGCAAAATCAAGCCAAACAGTCAATGATTACACGTATCACGTATGTATCGGCGATCAAGCCATCGAGCATCTTGTTTACTTTGTTGACTCCAACAACCGGAATGATCTACTGGAAAGTATCCTGTTTCTTTCTTTCTTTATATGAATGTGTCATTCCCGTTCCTCCAAAACGGTAGTGCAAAGCTTATTTTTATGTGGTATTTCCTTACCGGGAATCAACAAATTTGTTGTCCAGTAGTGACCTGGACTATTTTACACTAGATGAGACCATTCTTCTCACTGCTCTTATCTACTGCAAGTAAGTCTTGCTCAGCTCTTGAATCCCTTGATTAAGCAATTATTATGCTTCAAGTTTGAAAGACGAGATTGATTGACCACACAATCGTGGGTTTCCTGTTGTCTCATATTAATAGAAGAGTTTACAAGACCTACATGGAAACTATCAATACAAATCCTATCCATAATGGCCTGATTATATGGAAACATACAGGCTCCAAATATGGTAGAGTATAACCGAATATACAGGCATATTTGGTTTGCCTAACACCCCCCGCAGTCACAGCAGGAGATTCTCGGACGCTGAGACTGGATCGAAAATCCAAGAACAAAGGTGATGGTAGGCCTTTGGTGAAAATGTCTGCGAACTGCCGGGAAGAAGGCACATGAAGAACTCGAATGTGCCCAAGCGCAACACGGTCGTGAACAAAGTGAAGATCAATCTCGATGTGTTTGGTGCGTTGGTGTTGAACCGGATTCGTGGACATGTACACCGCGGAGACATTGTCGCAGAAGACAATGGTGGCACTAGGGAGAGGGCGATGAAGCTCATTGAGAAGTTGACGAAGCCAACTAGCTTCAGCAACAGCATTGGCAACGGCTCGATACTCGGCCTCGGCGCTAGAGCGAGAGACGGTGTGCTCACGCTTGGAGGACCAAGAGACAAGATTGTCACCAAGGAACACACAATAACCGAAGTCGAACGACGGGTATCAGGACAGCCAGCCCAGTCAGCGTCAGTGTAGGCAATGAGACGGCCCGTGGTAGACGACACAAGCTGGAGACCATGGTGTAAGGTGCCCTTGACGTATCGGGAACACGCTTAACCAAGGACAGGTGTTGCTCGCGTGGGTCATGCATGTGAAGACAGATCTGCTGCACGGCGTAGGCGATGTCTGGACGAGTGAACGTCAGGTACTAGAGAGTACCGGCAAGACTCCTGTATTCTGTAGGATCATCCACGGGAGAACCAGCGGCAGCAACAAGCTTAGGTGATGTGTCCACAGGTGTAGATGCAGGTCGGCAAGAGCTCATGCCAGCACGCTCGAGAATCTCGAGAGCGTACTGCGTCTGGGAGAGGAACATCCCACTGGAGTCACGATGAACGGCTAGACCGAGGAAATGGTGTAGCTCACCCAAGTCAGTCATGGCAAACTCGGCGTTGAGAGCTGTGATGACACGCTCAAGCAGAGTCGATGAAGATGCTGTGAGAATGTTGTCATCGACGTAGAGGAGTAGGTATGCCGTACCAAAAAGACCATCCAGGATGAAGAGCGAAGTATCCGACTTGGAGCAGGTGAAGCCGAAGGCGGTGATGAAAGTCGCGAAGCGCTGGTACCATGCACGGGGAGCTTGTTTCAGACCATAGAGCGCACAGTTGAGACGACACACATGATTAGGCCGGGCAGAATCAACAAACCCCATGGGCTGGTGACAGAAAACCACTTCGGAAAGTCTCCCATGAAGAAAGGCGTTCTTGACATCAAGTTGACGAATCTTCCAATTGAGGGAGAGAGCAACAGAGAGAATAATCC